AGAGAGAGAGAGAGAGAGAGAGAGAGAGAGAGAGAGAGAGAGAGAGAAAGAGAGAGAGAGAGAGAGAGAGAGAATGTGTGAGAGAGGCGGACAGAAGGTATAGGTGGGCACAAAGACGGCCCCTCGCCCACGTAGCTACGGAACATCTTCCTAAGAGATATGCATACAACTACCGGTACTCACCCATATACACAAACACACACACACACACACACACACACACACACACACACGAAATGAATGAGAGAGAGGGAAAGGGAATGTGGGACGATGATAGGCAGTGTTGGATGGGTGAGTGGATACGCGCGCAAGTGGAAGGGGAAAATGGCAGCTCACCCTGCTTCCCTCCCTCCCTTCCTCTTCCAGGCCTCAGCGTTCTCCCCCTCCACAATCAGCCGGACTTGCATTCCCCGATGCCTAGCAGATCCTGCACGGCTCTGTTTTTTGCCCTTGTCTCTGCGGTCGTCGGCACATCATGATTGGGATGACTGAAGCGCTTCTCGTACCGGTCGCACGAGCCATAGCCCTCTGCAAACCGTCCCGACTGCATGACAGCTCGGGCGGTGAACTCCCCGCGAAGCACATTCCCCTTCTCGTCTCGAACAATCGACTTGTCCTTTATTTCCAGCGATATCCCAAAGAAAAACGCCAGCTTTCTCCATCCACTCTTCTTGATGTATGTTTTCCCCTGAACGGCCGTGTAATCCGCTTTGGTCAAAATTTTGAACGCAGCTTCGTGGTACGTGACAAACTCATTGACAGCCGGCTTAGTCAACCACAAAGGAGCGGAAGAAGACGACTCCCTCTCCCTCGCTGGCTCTTGTCGTCCCTCATGAGGGATGAGGGCGCGGCGAAAGGCCACGTCAGCAGCACTAGGACAAAGCTCCTGCTCATCATCGTAATCATCTCCGTGACGGCTTCCAGGAGACTTCCACGTGTTGCCGTTGAATCCGGTTTGCAAGTGATTCCTACCGCCATCGACTCTCCGCCCCCAACCACCTCCTTCACCTCCTCCACCTCCACCACCTCCTCCACCTCCTCCTCCCCCGCCAGGTGCAGGAACTATGGCTCCCCACCCCTCAGGCCCCTGACGTACCCCACAATTGGCCCCAGCAAAGGTCCGTCCGCTGCCGCTGGGGGTTTCTCCCATGACCTTGGTCTGGCCGCGGTTAGCAAAAGGCACCACTGCCTTGTGTGTATTCCCGCTTCCACCATTACCTCCTGGTGGGCCATCGCGGCGGCCTGAGGGAGGCTGCCAGCCATTAATCACCCCGTTGGGAGAAGCAGGTGGTGGTTCTCCACGCTGGCAGTTTCTCGTCGCTGAGGACGGCCGAGCAGGCGTGAAGTCCTGCTGCCCCCCGCTGGGGACTAGATTCCCGACGCTGCCCTGTTTTCCAGGCCCGGCAGAGAACGGATACCCCCCCCCCACCTGAGGAGATCGAGATCCCGGCGATGGGCGATCGTTGCCCCCCCCCCCGCGGTCGTATGGCACCATAGCCCGATTAAAATGACTGCTGGAGGGAGGGAGGGCGGCAGCAGAGGCAGAGCCAGGAGAGGGAGGAGGAGGAGGAGAAAAAGAGGGGCGTTGTCCACCACCAACCCCCTCTCCCTGACGAGGTCGATCGAAGTCCGGGAATTTCGCCGGCTGCTGCACTCCTTCCCTCCTCCCCCCATCAACCCCTGACCCCTTCCCTCTCGGCGGTGGATCCGATAACTGCTGAGACCGGGTAAATGGATTGAATGAACAATTTTGGGGGGTCTGAGGCCCTCGGGGAGGCAGCAATACGTCCTGTTGATTGCCGTTGACAGCACGTCGGGGATCTGAAGCCTGATCGCGCTGCGCTGATGTATGCGCCTCAGCACGCGGCGATGATGGCCCCGCCTCGTCAATGACGATGGCCAGCGCCTTAGCATTCGCTATTTCCTCCTCCACACTCCTCTTGCTCCTTCCTCCTCCATTGCCGTACGACCTTTCACGAGCACCGTACGATGATGATGGTGACGTGGAACCATACGATGCAGATACGCTGGCAGGGCTGTCTCTTCCTGGTGTCCTGACAGCTCCTACTGCTGCTGCTGCTGCTGCTGGCTGCCCGGGCAGCCCCGTGGTCGATAACCTCCTCCTCCCGCTCCCGCTGCCATCGCCGACTCCATCGCTAGCTTCCATCTTCCACCCTGGCTGCTGCTGCGCCGCGATTGCGTCTGCAATGGCCTTCCCGACTGCTCTCCTCTCTGCTGATGGAACCATTGACTCTCGATTGCCGCTGTGAGCAATGACGCCACCTGGTGGTGTGATCGGATAAGCTGCTGCTTCTCCCCTGGTCGCTACATTATTACTATTATTAGTACCACGGCCGGCTTCGTTACGACTACTACCTCCCCCATTCCCCACGCAGTGATTAACGCCAGGAGCACGACGATTGAGGAAGCTTGTCCCTGCAGACGGCGATGGCGGCGGGAAGCGTAGAGGAAGACGCTCATGTACAATTGAACCGTTGATGTCATCATTACTGCCTCTCGCCGATCGCGGACCCCCTCCTGTTCCTTCTCTTACCCCATCGAGATCGGCGCTTGTGCCTGCCGGTCCGTTATTGCAGGCAGACAGACGCGGTCGCTTGTTATACGCTCCTTCCTCCGCTAAAGCGAGAGCCTTCAGCACAGCTTCGTCGAGGAAGATCTCGTCGTCCGAAAGCAACCGCACCTTAGCCATCCTTCCAATTGAAAAAGAATCTTGTCAACGGTTAAAAAAAAGAGTATATCTCAAAAAACATCCCCACACCTCATGTTACTAGCTCTCTCTCTCTCTCTCTCTCTCTCTCTCTCTCTCTCTCTCTCTCTCTCTCTCTCTCTCTCCCCACACACACACACGATGACTTGCCTCGCCTCCTGGCACCCAGTTGTGCTTTGATAGATCCGTGCTTTGATAGAAACAACAGCGGTAGCGCTCTCTCTCTCTCTCTCTCTCTCTCTCTCTCTCTCTCTCTCTCTCTCTCTCTCTCTCTCTCTCTCTCTCTCTCTCTCTC